TTGTAAATATTCCCGGACTTCTTGTATAAGCCCAAATCAAGAGTTTAACCAATTCCCCTCTAAACATAATGTGGAAAACTCGAGCCTGCACGGTGAATTTCATATACTACGAAGTGCCATACACACGTTTCTTACATATATATGGAAAAGTTTGCTCTACTGCACTAGTTTTTACAATTTCAGGGCTGACTCCATTTGTTTTTACGTAATGTTTCAGGATTAATGCTTTTTAATGTAAATTTTTAATAATTTATTTGGATCAAATAATTAATTGAAGCTTGAACTTTTTCTTAACAACTAGAATTAAGCTACAAATCACAAAAATCTCATACTTTTCAGACTAGTACAGGTCAAGTGTTTCAGAATAGATGCTTTCCTTGAAAATGGAGGAAAAGAGAGGTAAGAGTGAAAAGAGTGACAGAGAAACAGGAGAGATGTAACAGCTGAAGAAGCAGATGGGATTCATGGACTTCGCTGAATTTCCTGGAAGATGACAAAATAACTTACCTACAATAGAGGAAAATAAGTAATCAGTAGGAATTATAAATAAATGCTACAAGCACATACCATGGCCTAAACTAGTATTTCTGTTACATTTAAAATAGTCTTGAAACTCCCTTCCCCTCAGATCTGGGTTCAATACTAAATAAACTGTGATAAAATATTTTGAAATAGATGTACATATAAAAACTGGTTGCAAAAGTTGATCAGCTGTTCTTGTTTGCATTGTCTTAGGACCATCTGTCTTCAGCTTTGAATTACTACAGTGGAATTGTCCCAGAAATAAGCTATAGTTTGGGGGGGGGAGGGGTGTTAATTAAAGGTAGGAGTTTCATATAGATAAACATTGTCATTTGTGAATTATGATCTTCAGAATATCACTGCATACTAATGTTGCATCAGTTATGAATAGAGGATCCATAAAAGCAGATCATAAAAACTAAGCTTTAAAGTTCACTGGGATGAAAGAATGCTAAGGCATTATTCATGTACAGTTATTATACAGGATGTTTCTTACAGCTCAACTTAATTCTTTTCTGAAATTCTCTGATGCTTAAAATTCTGCCAGGATATTTTATAAACTATTGCACTAAGTTAAAGCCTCGGGAATATTTATATAAAATACAGATAAATAAGAATCATTCTTCTTCACAGTACACTTTCTCAGTGGGACAAATATTTAGCTTACACAGAAAATGTAAGTAGTCACATTTTGAATACTATGCTAGACTTTAAGTGAATCGTACTAAATAGCCTGTTCCTCTTACAGACTCTTCTCCTTTGTCGGTGTTATTTACACTCCAATATTTTAGGAAAATACTTGCATTTATAGATAACCATTTCCCTGTGATCTTATTTTTCAAGTAATTTTTTTTCAATATAAAACTATGTTTTTGACAGAATTTTCCTGTACCAGATAGTCACTGGTTTATACTGTTCCTGTGTTTTCCATCCATATACTTGCATTTCTCTAATCTCTGGTTTCTTCACTCTTGTACTTGTTCTGCAATTGCTTATTTTCTGTTATCACCACCTCAGCTCATATTCTTCTTTGTCCCCTATAATTGCCTTTATGATTGTTATACTAGAATTTCTTCAGAACAGTTTCAGAGTTCTGGCATTTTTATCACAGAAGCATTTTTATCAAGTTTTTTTATCCATTGTTGTTCTTATTTACTATGATTTGTTCAATTCCCCCACCAATTTAATATGTATTCAAATTAAGTTAAAATGTGTTATACAAATTTGTTTGAATTTGCTGAAAACAACTTCCCATTTCTTTAGATACATAAAAAAGTATATATACTTCACATCAACAAAGAGACAAAAGGATTTTCCATGGTGACTTATGGTGAAGCTGTTATTTTTGTGCTGTGAATGTGTATTTCCTTAAGCTATTTGTAAAACAATATTTTTATAGAGCATTGACTCAGTGACTCCAGCCTTTGGTGCATTTTATAGCACAGTCTGTTTCCTAGCTATTAGCTGGATGGTAGATGTGCACATCTCTCTTCTGCTATCTGGGAAAGACAACTGAAGGAAACACCAGGTATCTACTTTGTTTCCTAGTGCCCACTGATAGAAGCTGGTGTATGCTAGTAAGAAGTGTCAAGACGTTGTTGTGGTTTAAGCCTAGCCAGCAACTTGGAACCACGCAGCTGCATGCTCACTCCCCGCCTTCTTCCTCCCCCCACTCCCAGAGGGATGGGGAGGAGAATTGGAGGAATGTAACTCCCACGAGTTGAGATAACAGCACTCCAGTAACTAAGGTATAATACAAACCACTACTGCTACCGCCAATAACAATAATGATAAGGGAAATAACAAGGGGAGAGGACACAACCACTCACCACCCAACCCGAGCAGCGATCTGGGCCTTCCGGGTGACTCCCCCCAGTTTCTATACTGGGCATGACGTGCTGTGGTATGGAATAGCCCTTTGGCCAGTTTGGGTCAGGTGTCCTGTCTCTGCTTCCTCCCGGCTTCCCCTCCTCCCTGGCAGAGCATGAGACTGAGAAAGTCCTTGGTCAGAGTAAACATTACTGAGCAACAACTAAAAACATCGGTGTGATCAGCGTTGTTCCCAGGCTGAAAGTCAAAACCACAGCACTGCACCAGCTACTAAGGAGAAAAAATGACTGCTGTAGCTGATCCCAGGACAGACATGAATAGTGAAATTCACATCTTATGTTGTTGTACAGAATACCATTGTAACTAAAGAAATAGCTGATGTAACACTACGTGGATGGTAATTACACTATCATTTATATAGGTAATCTTTTGATGTCAGCAACTATAACTAGAATCTAAAATGGCTATTTGAAACTACACAGAAGTATAAGGAACACTACTAAAATATGTAACAGTTGCTTGTCTGCACTTTAAGCCTCTATCCATTCTGTCATTAAATATAGTTTGGTAGATAAATTATACTTATGCATAGAGATATTCTAACTCTAATAAGGGTTAATAAATGCTTCAGCCATCCTTGTCTTCAGACGAAGATGATTCAGAAACCAAGAAGGGTACAAACTCCCATTCCCCAGACTTGGCATCATGGGATGATTGGAGATCACAGGAAGATCATGGGAGAATTACATATGAGATCTGAATTCTCCTAACTCCAATAACCCTTCTAATCTCATTGAATAAGGAACATTTTAGGGATGGAAGCGGGGAGAGGGGGCAGGGAGCATAATGAGTTATGTCTTAAACTGTGGCTTGATTAAATATTTCCTTTGCCAACAGTACTGGCTTAGGTAGGCCACAACTGCCCTGTTGCTCTCTACAGAATGACTGTCTAGAGAATTAATCCAGTCAAAAGTAAGCTCTAACAACCACAGCAACTATAAGGAAACTAGAGTGAAGAGGGTACCATAATCTGCTAGATTAGTATTTACGAAATACATGTTCCTTAAATTATGCCCAGGTATTAGCTAATTAAGGGGTCCAGTCTCCAGTTATGTTACACAAGCCCATCTCAGAAATCATGATATATGACATGAAAAATTAGACTAGAACAAAGCCAGTAGGAAAAAAAGCAGATGCAAGGACTCTTGCCTTCTACTGCGAGACCTACAAAGAAGGTTACAGGTAATTCTCTTTGCTTTTTGGCTTCTATGAGTATTTTTATTCTTAATGTTCCTAGCACAGCATCTATGGCGTGAGTTACTGGTACTGGTCTGAGACATAAAAGGTTGAAAGACAGGGTTAGATCTACATATCTAACTTTCAGACCAAATGCAGTAACCATTAAAATACCATGAAACATTTTGTACTGATCCAGTGCTCCAAACCACTGTAGAAAACATAAGCCATGGATATTATTGTTAAGAAAGCTTAGGTGTTGCTCTCCCTCATATTGTGACTCCTATGAGACTTACACTGCAGCCATATGCAAGCTGCTCAGGTGGAAACAGTTCCATGTCTAATGTGTCAAAAAGGAAATAAAAGGAAACTGCAGGCATGAACAGCATTTTCAAGCAGCTGTAAATGTTACCACTTCGAGGTTTAGGTATTTCTGGGGTAGGATTATACACCTAAAATCTGCTCAACTATAAAGAATCAGTCTGTCTTGAACCAGTACCCTACCACAGTACAAGATATGAATTGGATACACCAGAATCCAGTTATTAAATGTTGACATGCTTAACATTGCTCCTGATAGCAGACTTTAAATTTTGCTACCAACTTCAACATGATGGATTACTGATGTTCCACAACAGCTTTGCCTGTTTGGTTTTTCACTTTTCAGTGGGAGTTTTATTAGAATGAATGGAGGCTTCACAATTCTTGTCAGTCTTCTAATTTCCTGCTTTGATTCATGTAAGTATTAATCACCACATGCTGTAATAACATGGTTCTAAGAACTCTGACAACAATCTTGCTGGACAGAATCTAGTGTTAGGAAGCGGCACTTAATATCTGTGCTTAAGATGGAATGGCCATAATTGTAAAAGAACAAAACCTAGGCAGAAAGGACTTTGAAAAATTAATAGAATTGTAAAACAATAGCTTTTGTTTGCTTTTGTTTTCAGCTTACTTACAGCGATCCTGCCAAAAGACTGTGGAATTGTGTTTCGCAGCCTATGATTAGATCAATTTTAGAAGATAATTTTGAAGAAACAATCTCTTCTAGTTTCTCATTGCCTACTCTTCCCTTCTCTGGACCCAAATACTATTTCATATTTGCACTTACTGATTAATATATGTAAGCAGAAAATGTTCTGAAAAACGTAATTTATTTAAATGATAACATAGAAAATCTCATTTGAATTTCCAAATTTGATTTAGCCATTCTGACAGTACGCATATTTAAATCCATATATTTCTACATAAAGACTTGCAAACTGAAGTTTATCATACCCTACTCTAAAGGATTCCAAACACAAGTAATCACAACCGAACCTAGAATAGAGAACTATTCAGACTTGCATGTCTTTAAACATAAGAATAGACTTTTTCGCAACAGGTCTATTTAATAGTTTGAAGCACTGATATTTGCAAACAGATTTCTTAAAAATATATAATTTTAAAACAACAGTATTGCAAAGCATAAATAATTTTGATTTGAAAGGAAAATCATCTCTGCAGAAGTGAACACAAAAGTAGGCCAGCACCTCAGTCACTACTAGAACTGTCTGAACTATCAGAAGATGAACTTTTTTCCTTTCGCCTCTTCTTTTTTTCCTTTTTATGATGTTTTCCTTTCTTAGATTTATTCTTTTTTTCCTTTTCCCTTTCTTTTTTGCGTGATTTTTGTTTTTTTGACTTTGGCCCATCCTCTTCAGCTGCACTTGATGAGGAAGATCTAGGGAAAAAAATATATACACACAGATTGATATACAATTAAAGAATAATGCCACAAACATAATGGGGGAGTTAATTTCAGTATTTATATAATTTCACAAATTGAATGTGGTGTAGAATTTGTACAACCACTGAAAAGCTTATAATACCTTCGTCTGCATGTTCAACTGAACGATGACTTTTCTAATTAGACTATTGTGATAGATAATTAGACTAATTAGACTATTCTGCCAGAAAAGCAGTATGTTTATAATAGGTTAATTAACAAAGGAATAGGCAAGTTGTGTTTACAACATTCAATAAGACTGAGTACAGATTGACAGAAAATTGAAAGTACGACAATGATAGAGCTTCCAGCTTTTAAAATATCTTATGATCAATAACAATGCTACAGTAATATCTTCAGACAAATATTATTGTTTCTCTGATACAAAAAATCTAAGAGAAATATGTATGACAAATTCGGATGCTCTTGCAGCTGCTAATATCAATCTCTAACCTGCAGTGATGAGTGATTACATACAAACAAGAATTCAGATGACAGTAAAAGAAAAGTCATGATTATTATACTGAAGAGGGCAGGTTTGTGCTATTGTTTATATGACTAATTATTAATTACTTGCATGTAAAGACTCCAACCAGCAGACTGACTCTTTTCTACTGTCTTTGTAAGTTTAAGTTAGACCTACTTTATGTAAATAAGGAAGGAGATAAATGCCAATACAACCAGTGCTAAATCCTGTTTCCTTATTTCTGAAAAACACCATACTGTGGCCTCCAAATACATTATACATTTCCTAGCTTTCAATGTGGTTCCTGGGATATTGTCTCATATGACTAACCAGTCTAAAGTCTCATCTAAAAAGAAAAAAGTTAAAGAAAATCAGTCAGCAGGCCAAAACTCAGATTCACAATAGATTTGGGTATTATGACATTTCCCTTTGAAAATGTAGTAACAAGTAACTTACGCTTCTACAGTAACAGGAACATTAAAAATCAACATATGCTAAGTAAAACTACAGAAGCTTTCCTTTTGATAGCTACATGTTACTCAGAGTGTGTGTGTCTACACAAGCATGTGTGCACACAGTGAATCTTAGGGTCTCTGAACTGTGGGGAGGTTTCTCTAAGCTCAGAAACAACCCCATATTCCTCCTGACTCATTGTTCTTTTCCCACCACACCTTGCCTAGTGTTGAATAGTGAGAGGGAGCATCACTAGACCTGCAGATCTTCTGCTTGCTAAAGCTTTCTAGACTTCCACAGTCCTAACTCCACAGCAGAATGCCTATGTCTTCAGCATATCTCAAAGAACAAACAAGTCTCACCAGAAAACAGGAAGCTTTTTAAACCAAAGATGTACTTGCAAATAAAGTTGCATCAATAGAAGCAGTGTTCTCTGAGAAACAACCCAAACATCAGAAATATTTCTGAAGTTCTATTTTGAATATACAATAGGTATGTGACAGAGTTACCTTTTCCTTGGTCTTTTTAACTTTGTTTTTTCTTTGCTTTTTCGTTTTTGTTTCTTTTTTTCTTCTTCTTCATTTAAATCTATGGATAAAAAGTTACAGTTTACAAAACGCTTGTCCGAATTAAGATCAGTATTCAAAGAGTGCCTTCACTAGCAATGTAATGTTACCAGAAAATTCTTGTTAAAAGTTTTTCTTTCCTTTCCTCCAAATTCTAGTCTAGTATAGTAATTTCAGAAATATTTTCCAGAGTAGCAGAACTTTCCATACAACTCACATTCTAATGACTTTGATCGAAGCACTATAAATGAAGGAATGCCTGTAAAATGTAATAAATTTGTGACTTTTTCTCTATGTTTACATCAGCTTTAGGTTTTCATATCCATTCTTCTGCATTTTAAAAGACTTGCCCGAGTCTGAATACAGGTCATTTAACTAGAACGCACAAAAAGGAAAAACAAAAAAAGAGAAAGAATATTCCCTTAAGCTTACCTGAATTACTTTTATAACATGCTCATTTCACAATTTAAAGATAGCTATGCCATAACTAAGATAATGAGTTACCTGTCAATACTGTCTACAAAAAACGGCAGAAGAGTCATCCCTCAGCTGGTCATGTTTGTTTCCTGCCCTAACACTTTACAGTACTGTACAGCATCTTCACATTTCACTTACAAGCAATATTTTTATCACACGGGATGAAATTTCTGACCTTAGACTTTTCTATAGCAGTTCAGAAAGTACTCTTGAATTCTTTGAAATGCAAATCCACTACATAAATACACATTACAATGCCAGCTAAGGGAAAAATACCGTCTTTACAATTTATCCTTAAAACAGACAGCAAATTTGTAACTTTCCATAGAGTCTGAGTGGTATTGCAGTTACTCATTTGCTACCATGAATAGAAATTACTGATACCAGAATGTTCTGGAGTGAAATTTTAAAGAATTCAATGTGAGTTACAAAAACCAAATTACTTTCGGAGCAATTAAAACCCATGAACAAGAATGTGTGAATAAGCAGTCAATATTTTTTTTAAGAAAACTGTGCAAAAATCTTGAGATGAGGCCACTTGAAAATGGCAAAATCCTGCCTAGATAATTGAAAAATTAAAGATCCATATCTCCTTACATTACCCATAGCAGCCACAATTCGAGAAAGAACATATAATAAACAGATATTACAAGATCAAGCAAACAGCTGTTTTTCCTGCAGATATCCATCTTCAAACAGTTTAAGGCAAGAAATCCCCCTTATATCCAAGAGAATATAATAAGGACAAGTTTTTCCAAAGAGACTTGTTTCAGAAAGGAACAGAAAGGACTGCTGCAGTATCAACTCAGCACTCCTGACAAGCAGACTATCCATTTCTTTTGAAATGTTCCAGCAAATGACAAGGTTCCCTTCTCTTTCCTAAATAACACACATAGTAGGAACTGAATGTGAGCCTAGAATGTGAGAGCAAGAGAACAAAACATGACATTTCAAGAGGCAGAGGGGAAGAACATTCATGTATTTAAAACTTCATATGGTGGAACAACCTCCTCTAAGAAGAAGGGAGGGGAACAGCCTCTTAGGAGTCCAAATTCAAATGAACTCAAGTTATCTGCTAAATAACCCATCTATTCTCTGTCTGACAAACAACTGATGCTCAGACCTTACAAACAAAGAACAGACCTTCTCCAAATACGAATGTTTAAATTCAATTCACCAGCTGTTTTAGTCAAAACACTGCTAAGAAATTCAACTGTCATATTTGTCCTTAGTTTTAAGAGTTACTATTAACTTTAAGATGTTTAAACTACATGCCATAAACAACAGGTTAACTCAGAATATCCATGTCATTTTCTCCTAAGCAGCTTCTTAGTAACAGTCTTACAACCGTTCACATTTAGGAGCCCTTTTTGATATGTTCCAAATTATTAATTTGCTGATAGGAATTAATAATAATTTAAAAAGATGTGGGTGTCTCAAATCTCTGAAGCCTGAACACATAAAGTAAAAGCCCAATTATTAAAGCACAGACTAAAAAGAACTAACAGTAGTTATAAAAAATGGGCGTTCCCATTATCCAATTTATTTGTTTAAAAAAAAAAACAAACCCCACCCCAAAAACACCAAACAAAAATAAAACCCACAAACAAAACAACCCCAACAACATCTTACTCTTTTTTTCACGCATGGCTTGCAATCTCTGTAGTTCTTCTTCCTCACTGTCTTCACTGCTGGTGCTGCTAACATCTAAAACAATATCTCTTTGCGGATCTACCCGGAGGAAGTTTCGACATTCAAATGTCAGATGACCAGCTGAACAAAACAAATATTCAGAAAGAAAAATTATAATTTACCAAAACCCATCAGAAACTAAAGAACATATGTTTTAGTATGACTCAGTTTTGAGAAGTGAAAAAATGCTAGGCAGCAATCTGTGAACAAGGAGGGAGAAGGCTTACTTTGAAGAAACATCAAAGAATTTTGCCGGGTTGTCCCTTTAAGATTGCTTTATGACCTCTCTCTTATACCTAATCTAAAGATTTCGTCCAACCTTTACTTTACTTTTTTTTTTTTTAAATTGTCTCAGGTCCTTCCTGAAGAAATTACCTAAAAGCATGAAGCAAAATATTTTAAAAAAACCATACCAACTGTGTTACATTGATCTTTCTGTCTCCCTCTAGTGTTACAGAAGAATCCTGTTCACTTACTGGACAATCTTTAACAACGAGGACTTAATACTGACTAAGGTACTACTTGGCTACTATTTTTAGTTTTCTAAGTTACATCTCAATAATCATGACCAGAGTTAGAAACCTAGTGGAATAATAAAGACATATAAAACAAAGTGAAGGTACGATCTGGGAGGAACTAAGGTAAAAACACTGGAATTCAAGTTGTAATTGAAATAAACTTATCTTCATATCAAAATGCCTACATCTGGAGACAGACCTTTTAGGAACATAAATACAGGCTGTGTGATTTGACTACAAGTTTTGTTCTCTTCCAGAAAGTTTGATATTTACTGCATGTAAAAATGAACCACTAAGTCTATATTGATATCCATGCTATGTTGGAAGGACAGATATACAAAGCAATTCATTGACGAAGTTTTTTGGAGGCAAAGTCAACAGTGAAATAATGAAGCAAGCTTTTTTGCCTTCACCCCACGTAACACTTATTAAAAAAAATAGATTAAATCATTCTGTTAAAAATTCAGCACAATTTACTGCCAAACAGTACCCACAGCTCCATTGTCCTAGAACTAAGAGGTAGTGATTAATAGACTAAAATCTTCACTAATACCTGTCTCCATTAATCAGGAGAGCAGCCACAGAGATACTTGTATGATCAGAGAATAATGCAAAGCATGAGCTAAATTCTAACTACAGAACTTGTGACGAACCGTTTCTTGAAACATAGAATGCACAAAGAAGTATGTTTTCATCACACAGATCATACAGATTTAAACTATTTTTTCTTTAAAACAGACCTAAGTTGAGCTGAAATGCTTGCCTAAGTTTGCAGTGAGACTCAGAAGCACCACAAATGCTAATCTCAACAGATATCAGACCATGCATTCAATTCAAAGTTTCTCAAGTAATTGCATTGCAAACGTAACATATGTGAATAGAATAGCATACTTTCTTTTTTTTTTCCTGAGAAAACTCAAGGGTTTTCAAATGCAGAAATAGATGTGAGTAGCCAGAGAATGCATAGAAAATAAATAAATTTTTAAAATATGGTAATTTAAACTGACAAATGCCTGTGCAACAAGGGAGAACATCTTTATTTCCCCGCCCCCCTCCTCAAAAGGCAGTTCCAACATCATAAACTGAAGAAAACACTGTAACTCTATATTGCTTACTACAGACTTACGGTAGCCACACTTCTTGCATCCTGCTCTGATGTTATCCTTATTTCCACCTGAAAGAGAAAATTTCATAATTAGGGGTTGTTAAGCAGAACTTTCGAGTTTCTTTTAAATCTAGCTTGATACTGTCAATAAACAGACAGGAGTCATCCCACCTCAGAGTATTAAGTACACCAAGATATCTTAAAGAAAATTAAAGAAAAGCAAAACTGCATTTCTAAGGTCACTTTTCTGTGCATTAATCTACTGTCAAACCCTCATTTCAATTATTCTGATCTTTCTATTATAATTTTAATAATTATTCCATGTCTCTGAAGGCTTATGTATTTGTTTTGTTACAGCATGAACACAGTAATAGCTATCTGCTATTCCAGTGATACTTAATGCACACTACAAATCTACTTATAAATTCTAGCAGTGCATGAATGCTGACAAACATTCACTGGGAACTCTGATATTTTAATTACAAAAACTGTGTTAAAAAGCCAATTTAAAAAAAAAAAAAGTTAAACAATCCCTCTTTAAAAGTGACAAAAGACAAACGCAATTGGGGGGGGGAGGGAGCTAAACTAATCCTTAAATTATTCTGAATCCAGACAACATGATGCTAAATAAAAAGAATTAATGGTGCAAGAAAGCAAATGTGGACTAAAGTGAAATGAGTAACAGAAAAATCTGTAAATGCTGTGCAGGAAGGAGGACCAGAATAGCACAAATTTTAGGGACAGCAAGTGTGTGATTTTCCCATCTGATCTCACAGTTAAATTAAACAGACATAGTAGGACATGACTCAGAAGAAGAGAAACCCCAGAGACTTGCTCCCCAGAAATAGATCAGTATCCTTAATGAAAGTCACAACTGAATTTTCAAAATCAAAAGGTGCCGTTTTATCTTTCAACTGAATAAAATATATAAAAAAGCAACTTAAACAACTATAAACAGTTTACTTAATAACTAGGTAATTTATTTAAATAAATAAATAAATAAGCAAACTCAAGAAGAAATCCATGACAGAAATAAGTGAACCAGAAAGGAGGTACATCAGCTCCATGAATTTAAAATTTGGTTTACTGAGACAACCACTGCCTTTAGAAAACTCTACTCAAGAGAAACCTTCAAACCCTAAAAACCCTTCAAACCTTGAAAAACTAACTTGCAAACTTCAGCAACTCACTGGTCTATCCCCTGAAGAGCACTGGAAAGCTAAGCAATAACGGTACTTACATTCTATTACGATACCTGGTTTTCTGTGGATCCCAAAACCTGACTCTTACATGTCACCTTCAAGGTCTATAAACTCAGCAGTGTATAGGTGTTGGTTTTATGACTATCTTTTGTGGGAAACCCATGAGAAGTAAGAAGGTAAGGAACACGGAGGAAAGTCTCAAGAACTAAGGAACAAAAGTATACCTGTGTCTTGCAAAGTCATGTCAAAGAAATACTGAAAACAGCATCGGCTTGTTCACTACACCTTGTGACTAAAACGCAAGATCACCGAAGCTACATACTTTGTCTTAGCTTTCTGAAATACTCAGTAAACTTCGGTGCTACTGTGTAACTGACCTGCAGGTAAAGAAAGAGTTGGTATTCCACACAAGCGAGGTCAGTATGGTCATGCACACACTACAAAATCTCCCATAATACATGGAGGTGCCATTTGTCAGGATTTCCAAAAGAACCACTCTGCAGATGACAAGAACATTGCCACCAAATACTGGTACCAAATTCCTGAGACTGAAATTTAATTGTTAATTTCTGCTTTAAATAATAATGTTAGAAGCAAGGTTTTAGACTAGGTGAAGTTTTAGATTATTAAATCAAATTACCGGGATAGGTTGCCCAAAGAAGTTGTGGATGCCCCACCCCTGAAAGTGTTCAAGGCCATGTTGGATGGCGCTTTGAGCAACCTGGTCTAGTAACTTGTACCTGCCCCATGGTAGGAGGATTGGAGCTAGATGATTTTTAAGGTCCCTTGAAACCAAACCATTCTATGAATCTTCCTGTTCTCATTCCTTTCTTCCAAGATGTTAATCCTCCCGATTTATAACTGGCACAGCAGCAACCACTACTAAGGACTTTATTCATTCACTAGAGCACAAGGTTGCAAAAAAAGCTTTGGAAACCTCTGAATGCAAATATGAGATATCTTCCTCAAGAACCCCTTCCAGAATGGAAGCTCAAGAGAAGCTTACCAAAGCTCAGGCTTGTTCAGCTGTTCTTCAGCCAAACACTCCTCATGTCTTAGGATCAAGAAATTTTGAAGCAGTGGCTGTATGTGTGGCTAACGTAGACCTAAATACCTTGCAGACAGTGCAAGCCTTTCTTCCTGTCCTCTCTCACCACCATTCTCAATGGGTCCATTTAAACAATAATCTAGTGGGACACAAGCTTTAATCCAGAACAAACGACGAGGAGGAAAACCAAGTCTGACAACAACCATTCTTTGGACCTAACTTTAAAGAAGGTGGCTTATAGTAACAGACAATAGGAACACAGGTCATCTCTCACCCCAAACGCTGGAGAGAGGCGCCGCAGGCCTAGAACGGACCGCACACAGGGCTGCGCTCATCAGCGTCTGGTCCGACACCCGCTCTCC